GGTGCGAACGTTCCGTTGATTGAGTTGCCAAAATTTCAGTTTCACAGCTTGCATAGGTCCTTGAGATCGGAGCCTTTCATAAAGAACGAAGACGAGAAGAGTTTTGACCTTTCAACTTTTGAACAAATTGGTCAGAGCAAAATTATGAAAAATTTCTTTTGTATGAGGAGCCGCCCATCCTGAACTGAGCTTATTTCCGCTCGTATATCATTTTTTGATTTACCAAAATTCACAACGATTTAGTGTCGCACACCACGAACTACGTGTCCGTTTCGCGGGACACCAGAATGGGCAAGTGGCTGGGCATCAAAAGGGCGAGAACAGAATCGTTTTGACGATCTGATTGCTTGGATGTACGTGGCTTGCGAACTGTACGATCCGGCTACATCTGTTACCCAACCATTGCCATGGACGTACCGTCAGAGTAATAAGGTATGTTTAAAGCACGCTACCTCTAACATACCTTTTTTGCAGCCTAATTTTCGTTTACCACATCGATCTTAAGTACTGGCATAAAGTTCCTGAATGTATTAAAATGCAGTTACACTCAATCCACTCGTCCTGAAGCACTTGCTTCCTGATGCCGTCTTATTGCCTGTGTACCATTTCTCCGATCATCGAAAAAACTGCTTTTTTCTTTGCGAACAAAATTTTCCAATAGAACATATTTATGCTGATCAACACGTCTACCCAGTTGATAGAAAACGTAACAGTTACGTTTGCCTTAAACAGAAAGTAAGAAAGCTCAAGCAGTTTCTAGCCAAAGACTCTCCGTAGAAGAGCTGCCAAATAGTGCAAGTTTCCTGCATCGTCGAGGCTCTCAAAATTTCGAATGTATCCATCTTTTTAGTTTCCAAAATCGCAAAAAAAAAACAGCTGCAAATAAAAGTAGAAGAGCAAATGCTTGGTGTGACTGTGAAAACACTGGAAGTGGCAGATACTTGAGTGCGTCTCTTTTTGTAAGCAATAGTCCTAACTGTCAATGAACAGAGCAAGTTGCGTGCCTTGTTCAACCGCTGGTCGTCACTTGACCACAAACTAGTGAGTGGCGCCTTTGAAAGAGCAAATGACCACTCGAGTGGCCTTGAAAAATTTGTTGAAAAAG